CTGAGCCACCACGGCCACGAGTGGAAGATAGGCATCCCTGGTGGTCAGGGCGTGGTCAGCGAGTGTGTGTGGCAGTATGGACACCGGACTGTGGGCCGAGCCCGGGACACAGGAGAGGGCCTGGGGGGTAGGATATCAGGTCTTCCCAGAGGGCACCCCAGAACCCAGGGGAGGGGGGCGGGGCCTAGGCAGAAGGGTGTGGTGTTGACTACTGAGTCACCCTCCAGTGCAATCAGGATGACACAGCTTCCCTTGGACTGCAAGCACGAGGTGACCAGATGCCCTCCAGCTGTGGGGGCTGCCAGTCAGGCACTGTCGGGTGTAGCACTGAAGGGGCGCCTGGTGGAGGTACAGGGAGGGGAGCCGGATGTCCTGGGGAACCACGGGGCCTTCTGCACTGGGAGCCTACCTGCAGAGGCCGGAGTTGCCATGGGGTAGTTAACCAGGGCCCGTGGGGTGCCAGGCTGTGCCTCTCAGAGTAGGTTTGGGCTTTGCTTCCATGAAGATTGACAGCCTTGGAGACCCTGTGGGGCAGTTCCGCTCTGTCCTCTAGGGGCGCTGTGGGTGTGGTTTGGGCTTTGCTTCCATGAAGATTGACAGCCTTGGAGACCCTGTGGGGCAGTTCCGCTCTGTCCTCTAGGGGCGCTGTGGGTGTGGTTTGGGCTTTGCTTCCATGAAGATTGACAGCCTTGGAGACCCTGTGGGGCAGTTCCGCTCTGTCCTCTAGGGGCGCTGTGGGTGTGGTTTGGGCTTTGCTTCCATGAAGATTGACAGCCTTGGAGACCCTGTGGGGCAGTTCCACTGTGTCCTCTAGGGGCGCTGTGGGTCAGAATGGACTCCAGGCAGTGGGTGTGGTTTGGGCTGTGCTTCTGTGAAGATTGACAGCCTCGGAGACCCTGTGTGCAGTTCCACTCTGTCCTCTAGGGGCGCTGTGGGTCAGAATAGACTCCAGGGCAGTGGGTGTGGTTTGGGCTTTGCTTCTGTGAAGATTGACAGCCTTGGAGACTCTGTGGGGCAGTTCCACTCTGTCCTCTAGCTGTCAGTCGGAATCAAGTCCATGGCAGTGGATGTGGTTTGGTTTTAAGAGGTAGGAGTAGTGCCTGATTGTGCAAGCCTTTAAGTGTTCATCTGCTAACTGAAAAGTTAGTGGTCCTAGCCCACCAGCAGCTCCACTGGAGTAAACCTGGCAGTCTACTCCTGAGAAATTTGAATACCTCTTGCTGTCCAGCGGATTCTGACCCATGATGACCCTGTGTGACAGAGTAGCACTGCCCCACGGGCTCTCCAAGGCTGTCATCTTTATGGAGACAGACTCCCACATGCTTCTTCCACGGAGCAGCTGGTGAGTTGGAACCCCTGACCTCTCAGTTAGCAGCTGAACCCTTACCCACTGTGCTCCAAGGCCCCTTAAACTCTTTTACACTCCAAACTTTCCAGACCTCTCCCAAAGAGCAAGTTGTCCTTTTTCTTGCTCCTGACGTTGAAAGTGGTTTTAGCTCAATAACCGTTGGCCAGTTGCCACAAGTCAGCGCTGCCTTGTGGCAGCCCCGGGTGTGCACAGTGGAGCCGCACTGGACCGGGCTCTCAGGCCGATTTTCAGGAGTAGATTGCCAGGCCTTTGTTTCGGGGTGCCTGTGCGTGAACTCGAACCTCTCAGTCAGCAGTCAAGCACTTACCCCTTGTGCCACACAGGGGCTGCATAGGTGAGCGCTCCATGGGGTTATTCTGTGGTCTGCATGAGGGCATTAACAGTGCCAGGCCCGCCTGTCCACCAAGCTCCCAAGAGGAGAGCCATGGCCGACCTGGCCTCTGTTCCTGGACCCCAGACCCAAAGGGCAGGAAGAAAGTGCCATACGCACTTTAGGTAGAGGCTGGTGTGCAGAGGACGGCCAGTGGCCTCCGGAGGCCAGGTTTCTTCCTGTTCTTGGTCAAGATGCTGCTGGCCAAACTGGCTCCATCGCAGGAGTGGAGGTGAGAGCCACCTGTTTGTGGGAGGAGTTCCCAGGCACATGCAGCGCGTGTGTCTGGCTGCTAACCAAATGGGGGTTTGAGTCCACTCAGGCCCCTCAGAGGCTGGGCCTGGCAACCTGCTTCAGAAAAACCCGCCTTTGGGGGCATCCCCCCTGACTTGCGGGGAGCACTGTGAGGTGGGGTCCACTCCGCAGCAAGGTGGTGGTGGTTTCCTGAACTCAGAACTGGCCTGGGTCTGTCCCTTCCACCCCAAGGCACCAGTGGCCCTTTTAAGCCCCTGGTTCCTAGGAGGGACCTCCAGGGCAGGCCTGCCCCCTGGGGCTGGGGGACCTTTGAGGTCAGCAGGGGTGGGCCAGGGGCCCAGGGACCAGACCTTTGGGGGCAGGTAGGACCCTGGAGCACCTTGTTTCAACACCCTTGTTCCCCCGAAGTGTGTGTCCTTCTCATCCCGTAGCCAGTGCGCGGCTGGCCGGGCCAGCGGCACCGCATGCTGGACCAAGCACCTCTAGACCCCCGTCTACCGTCTGGAGGGGTTGGTGGGTGAGGACAACAGCACCTGCGTCTGGGAGCTGCCGTGCCGGGGTCAGTGCTGCGACTGTTCATGGGTTTATTCTGCAGCCTTGTCGCTGCTCGGGATGGCCACAGCCACTGTTTCTTCCTTCACTCACCCCTCGCCAGACCCCCCGTTTCAGTCTCAGGTTGCGGCTGAGGAACCCCTCAGCCCCCGCGGGGTTCTAACTGGTTTAGGGACTTCCTTCCTCTCCGAGCACTGTCCCCACAGCGCCTCCTCTTGTTCTGGGGTCTTTGCCTCCAGAAGCTGGGGTGCAGACAAGGAGGGCCCTGTAGGAGGTGGTCCTGGACAAGGGCAGGGCCTGGGTGCCCTGACTCCGTGGGAGGGATGGGCCAACCCCCTGGGTGGGCGCTGCTGTGGCCTTGTGAGTGGAGCAGCCAGCGCCCCGTGATGGTGAGGCTGGGGTCATGCCCTGTGTGCCCTGGTGGCCTCACGGACGCCGGGCCGCCACAGGCCAGTTCTCACACTGGGGTGTGTCATGGGAAGGCCTGGACCAGACTGCCCTCCCTGGCCCGGCTAGGCTTTCAGGGTGACCCTGCCAGGCCCTCAGGGTGCAGATCCCCCTGCCTGGCTGGCGGGGGTGACCCTCTCACATGGGGGCTGAGCAGTGGCGTCGCAGTGGGCGGGCAGTGCTGTGGGAATGTGCACTGTAAACAGCGGTGACTCATCACATAGCTATGCCTGGGCCCTGGGCGCTGACACGAGCCGAGCCTGCTAGCCGGAGCCTACCCGGCCAGCTGCCCGCCTGCAAGAGAACCTTTCCCAGGCGCTCCTTCGGGTCCCCTGACCTCTGGTTTCAGGCAGGCAGCCACAGGCACCTACTGGTCCTTCCGTGGTGATGGGGCCACTCGTCTACCCGTCGGACACCCCAACGCGGCTGCCCTCTGGGGTGGCTTCCCCCGGAGGCTCTGTCCTTCCCTCCTGGGTGCCCCGACCCTCTGAGTGCCCCAGCCACCCAACCCAGGTGGGCACCCAGTGGGGGCAGCATGGGGAGGAGCAGAGGGAGGGGTACGAAAGGGAGGAGCTCTGTTGTCGTAGGAGGGGCTGGGCTCACCTGTGGTCCATGACACCGGGGCCGGGGCTGTCTTAGTGACTTCCCGGCCAGGGCCTCTGGAGGGGGTGCTGGAATACTTCCTCATGTTGGAGCCCCTGAGAAGAAGGGCTGGTGGGCATCTGTGGTGGGGGAGGATTAGGCCCCGGGGGCTCACTGTCCCGCCCTGAGGCTGCAGGAGGCTGAAGAGGGGAGAACGGGTGCTGGATGGCCTTCCCCGGGCTGGGGACCCCTCCTCTGCCCATACTGCTGACACACTCTGTGCTTGGTCTGCATCTGCCTGGCACTGGGGACGTCACGGACCCCGGTCCCTCAGCCAGACAGGCCTGTTCCCTCCACCTGCCCCTGGAGCCGCCAGCCTTGTACCGGTCTGTTTACCGTCTGCCGACCTCGGGCACCCCTGCCAGACGTGACCCGCCATCCCCGTTGCTTCTGGGCTTCTCCGTCACCATGGCGACCACAGGGGCTGGCTCTGTTCCCAAAGTCACCATGGTAACTGTGGGAGGGAGCCGTGGCCCAGACGCCTTGGCTGGGTTTTCATGAATGATTAGAATGTGTGACACAGTGCCGACGCACGGATGGGGTGGCAGGCGGCGGGGACGCCAGACAGAGCCGCTGGGTGCGGTGAGGCGGCACGGCGCGGTCTCAGGCTGCAGCCCTCGGGGCCCTGCTGCTGGCAGAGCTGCCTGGCGGTCAGCGCAAGCCCGGCCCTGGCCTGTGCTCCTCAGGGTTACAGCACAGGGAGCTGGGTACAGGTGATGTGGCAGCCACGGTGCCCGGCACAGTGGTAGGTGTCCATGGGCTGGGCAGGGGCTGGCGTGGGGCCGGTGTTGAGCTGGTGTGGGGGCTAGTGTTGGGCCAGTGTTGGACTTTATATTGGGCTGGTATCAGGGCTGGTGTCGGACCTGGTGTTGGGCTGGGCTGGGCCTGGTGTCGGACCTGGTGTTGGACCTGGTATTGGGCCTGTTATTGGGCTGGTGTTGGGCAGGTGTTGGGCCCGGTGTTGGGCTAGTGTTGGCCTGCTGTCAGACCTGGTGTTGGGCTAGTGTTGGCCTGGGGTTGGGCTGGCATCAGGGCTGGTGTTGGGACGGTATTGGACCTGATGTTGGGCTGCCATCAGGGCTGATGTTGGGTGGCTACTTTGCCTCTATAGTGGGCATCTGGTTTCCCACGTGGCTGGTGGGGCCTCTATGGAGGAGCTAGGACAGCAGTCACTGAAGTGGATGTCCTACCCTCAGCGCCCCACAGGCCTAGCAAGGTCCCCTGGAGGGGCTGAGAGAGACAGTGCCCCGTCCTGGTGCGGGGCTCTGGGCTGTCATCAGCGTCACCAGACTGCCCCTCCTTGTGGGTACCTGGCTGCCAGGCTCACGGCTGGTTTTGACATTGTCTTTCATGTTTCTGCAGTGACGATTTCCAAGCAATTCTGTCCTGGTGACTGTGCCCAGGTTATGACGACTAACCCCAAACCCAACAAGGCATTAAAGGTAAGGGGGGCAGGACACACCCGGGGTCCCTGTCCAGAGTCCTTGCCCAGAATCCCAGGTCCCTGTTCAGGGTCCTGGACGCGGCCAGCCCTAGGGTCACCGTCTAGAATCCCGGCAGGGTTGGTCCCAGGGTCACTGTCCTGGGTCCTGGCTGGGGTTGGCGCAGGGCCATCTCTTCCCTCACTGCCCTGAGAAGGTGCCCCAGTGAGCCCTTCAGTCAGGCCAAGGGATGACTGGCTGGGCAAGATGCTGTCAAGAGAAGTGGGTGACAGGTTCGGGGGAGCTGATGTCTGGGGAGGTGGCTCCAGGCAGAGGCTGTGGTGGAGATGCAACCTGGCTTTTAATGCAGCCACCACTTCTGCTCCCATGCGTGTGCAGGAAGCCGGAATGGGGCCCAGGCTCAAGGGTCTGTCTGCACCGAGCCCTGGCTACAGCCCTGGGCCATCTCAGGGCCCCTGGAGGCCGGCCGTGTGTGGGTTGGGGCCAGTGGAGGGGGCCCCTCTGTGTGCCACGGACTGTGCGTTGAGCCAGCCAGCCAGCGGCGAGTGGCAGGCTATGGAGCACTTGCCTGTGTGGGAACCATGCGGGTGCTGAAGTGCGTAGGGCACCAGGACAGCCTCTGTCCTCATGGAACCCAAGAGTCACCTGACCAGAGGAACCCCAGCCTTTGCCCTGTGAGAGTTTGTCCCCTGCCTGTTCAAAGGATGGCAGTGGGGCTGGGGGCCTCTTATCTCCGTGAAGGAAAGAGAGCAGGCTTGCCCAGACGACTGGAGTCAGCACCAGGTCCGATGGACCCTGAGAGCCAGGTCCCAACCCTCAGTGCTCAAGTGCCACTGTGCAGACCCCAGGTGACCCACGGGCCCCGCCTGCCCCCTTCACCCCCCACGGTGACCCGCTGGCCCTGCCCCC